ATACACAGGATAGGTGCTGAGGTCGAATCAGAATGTGTTTGGCAGTGCTGGGTGCCATATGTTGTGTTAATGTTGTGTTATCCTGTGTCAGAAGTGTCGAAGTGTTTGTGCTGTGATGTGATGTATAGTGTTGTATAATTGTTGTAAAGACAGAACTTTGTACGTTTGTATTGTTTGGAATGTGTGATGAAGTGTTGTAGTCATGTACCTGAGGTTATATTTCATGTGTGTGAGATTGAATTGTAATGTCCAACCGTATTGAGTGATATATTGTGAATGTGACGTGTCATGAGCGACGGACTATGTTACAGTCTTTAAGTGTGTGGTGAATGTTCGCGCTCATTTGTGTGGTTCAGAATATTATGAGATAATATTCTTAAAGTGGGGGGCAGTGTCACAGAGCGAGCGCTAAAAATGGACGCGCCGCCAAATTCTTGCGGTAACGCGCGGAAAAGATGCCAGGAGGTCAAAAGAAAAAAAAAGAAAACAAACATCCAAGGCTCCCCGGGCGCGCGCTTTCTCCTTGGAAGCGTAGCTTCGCCGACGAACCTCCTCACCCCACATCGGCGGCCGAGATAGCCCGCGAAAGTTCTAGAACGAAAGGGGCGTGGTCATACCGAGTTGAGTCATCGGCCGCGGAGGGCATTCCAACCGTCTGGCCCTCTTCCCAGCCTTCGCTGCGTATCGCGCCGACGAAATGACGAGAACCTTCTGGAATGTCGCGCGCAAGGTATGTAACCGAGCAGCCGAGATGAGAGATCAGGGGAAGACGGAAGTGAGCGCCAGAGCGCGAAGGGATCCCGCCGCGTAGTCGGCGAAGGTTTTGTCCGTAGCGACAAAGCAGGAGATGAAGAGGATTTCCATCTGAGGGGTGAAGGCTCGAGCTACAGGCAAGAGAGTGTGTTTACCGCTATCGAGCGAAGACGCGTGGCGACAGCTGCGTGTGTGAAGCCGAGGTGTTCAGCGAAGAAGTTTGAAGCTTGGAGAGTGGCCAATTGAAGACGCGAGGTTTCCTGGAAGAGAAACTTCGAGGGCGCGGAACGACAACAACGCTGGACTTTGAGTGAGTGATTCTCAGAAGAGTATCATCCAGACTTTTGTTCCAAGAACTTTGGACTGGATAGGTTTTCTATCTCTTTAGTCTTTAAGTGTCTTGGTTGTTCAATGCATGCGACTGCATTGTAGAGCGTATCGTTGTCTGTGTCCGTTGTTTTGAGTGTGGCTGATTGTACTGTGTAGTACGTTGTTTGATTGGAGACGTATTGTATGTAACTATTGTGGAGTGTGCATTCTTGTGTATTGTTTTCGATCGGCTATTTTTGAGAATATAATATTTGTTTTGTTTATCAACTTTCGGCTCTGACTTGTTCTTTGGGCCACAGCCGGCGTCCGCTGGCGCGCCAAAAAGGACCACTTCGAAATTGTCCACGCTTTCGTGGTGCGGTTTGGGGGGCCGATACTTCGGCCCTTGGAATTAGCCCGGCGATTGCCTCCCTAATTAACGGGACCGGTGTGTGACACACGCCATCTAGCTCAAGGCACGGGAGACGTCATCGGGCCTCAGCACGAGGGTGAGTGATGAAGGTCTTCGTTTTCGGCGCCGAAATTGTGAGAGCGATGCTTCTACCGAAGGTGACCACACAATGGAGGGCCTCCTACACACAGGTGCGCACCGCTGAGACGCTGTCTACATCGGCCTTGCGAGGCGAGAGAAGGGTAGGGGAGCGACAGTTTTGCGGGTGTTTTCCTAGGCCGGCACGAGACGTGAGTATGCGACACAGAAGGTGAGACGCGAGCATGAGCAGTGGGGGCGCACGGAGGGACACCGTTAGAAAAGCTAGTTAAAGGTCTGTTTCGCACCTAAAACACCGCGTGACATGCCCACTTCTATGTCGTATCATGCCAGGCCTTAAAATTCCATGTTAGAAAGACCACAATTTTGGACCGGGTGGGCTGCCTCGGCAGCGCGGCGATGAAGGAGGTGGCTGTGCAGTGACGCACGTATTGCAAAAGGTCGCACGAGTTAGTTTGTATGGTTGGCCAAGTTTGTATGGTTGGCCAAGTTCTTTACCATTATGCAAGAGCGGAAGGTACTTATGTATCTTCTTATATGACTGCATATAGTTACAAAAACGGGGTGGACACGTGCATGCTCACAAAGCACATGCGCTTACAACAATTTTTTGCAGCTTTCTTTCGTCATATAACGCTCACGTACAAAAAAATGGTTGATGTCACGTACAGTGGGAATCGACGATATGCGAAGCACGGAAGAGAAATGTTGATATGTCACTTTAAAATCAGCACAACGTTATGAGGTGGAGGTATATGATAGTGTACATGACTTCCGTGTAATGATTATCATGTGGGGTTGTGTCGTTTACTTTCGTTATCCATTCCCGTCACGTGACACCAAATTTAGTTTATGTGGAGCTAGCCAAACAGCCGCGAGCGCGCTATGAAGGTGATATGTTGTCATGTTCTTACATGACACGTGTGTCTAGATTATCATGTTTGCACCAGTCATGTATTTTGTCATCTATTGACGTCATGTAGCACCAAATTTGGTGTATATGTAGCTAACGAAACAGCCGTGAGCGCATCATGAAGGGCCCAATATACTCCAATGTAGCGTTGACGAGCGCGAACACTGGGCACAGTGAAGCTACGTTAGCAAAACACGAGCACTCTATAGTCTGACGCCAGGCGTTACCAGCGTCCGTCGGCGTGACCCGACGACAACCGGCGCGAAACGCGACATGCTGCATTTCGCGTCGATGCGTTACCCACAAACATTGCGTCTCCCTGTTCTCGCGACGGAAGGATGCTGGACGCGCTGATGCGTCAAAGCAACGCAGCCCGGCGGGCGCCTGCGAGTGAACGACAGCACCAGCGCCTGACGTGGCAATGCCGGCGTGACGCGACGAAACGAACGCTGACGAGAACGTGCACCGCGTTACGTCGAGTGTATTGGCGCCTTGACTGTGGCATGTAGTCATGTCCTCACATGACACGCATCTCATTATTATCATGTTTGCACCAGTCACATACTTTCGTCATCCATTCACGTCCCGTAAAACCAAACTTGGTATAGGTGAAGCTAGCGAAACTGCCGCCAGTACATCATAAGCGTGGCATGTAGTCATGTTGTAACATGACACGCATGACATGATTTTAGGGGCGAAGCTCCGTATGGCGTGGCTTGTGCGTCCCTCGTAGTACGTAACCACCATTGGCACGTACTCGAAATAGCGGTCCTTACGATTTGGATCTCCAAGTTAGTTCCGGTGAGATATTTCTTCTGTGCGTTGTTGAACAATAAAAGATAGTTCTCAATGCACATGTTAATGGCTGCTAAGGGGGAATGAGAGACAGGAGCATTCGGCATTTAGGTAACGCGCACGCTGCGATCCCCATTAGGCAGCTATTGGCATGTACATTGAGCACGATCTGACAAGAAAGGTTTGCTAGGTTATACTCGCTGGGTGTAACCTCCTTGGTTTTAGAAAGGTTTAGCGAGCGTTGGGCCGCATAGCCATGAATACAGTGAACTAGTATATACCATGAACTCGAGGTAGTTAAAGGTGGGAAGTAAACCCGAAGCGCAAGCCGTAAGAAACTGTGCATGTGCCACCTCCCGTTTAGTCCTTGAAATGTCCGCTTGATGGCGGTGCTTCTATATGGAGAATATATGATGAAAAGATGCGAGATGGTGGTACTTGGAGTGCTGAAGAGATGGACCAACGGACACACAGACAGATGCATGGATGGACGCATGAACGGACGCAGGCGCGGATGCATGGACGAACGCAGGGACGGGTGGATGGACGCATGGATGGTTACACAGACGTACGCAGGAACGGACGGAAGCAAGAACGAATGAACGGACGAATGCTTCGCCCCACTCCCCATCATTCACTCCGTGGATATGCTACCATTTTTCTTTTACGTTAGGGTCGGTCACTTGTGTTCGCCATGCAATCATACCATACCGTACCAGTTTTAGCACATGCCATGTGAAGGAAACCACCGCAAGAGCTGCAGGACCATGAAATGTAAATCACGACATTCATTACGTACATGTCAAGATTTTCATGTTATGACTAGTCAAATGTGTTCGTGATGCAGTCATGTTATGCCATACGAAGTTTGGTATTGATACCATTATCGAAATGGCCGGGAGAGCTAAAAGTCGTAGGCGGATAGATAGATAGATAGATACGCTCAAAGTTGCCGAATTTCGCTAAGAAATGATTCGCATTTAAAAAAGTGGTCGTTGCACTCGATAGCTGAAGTAATGGCCGGCTCCACATGGAATTTGGCGGAAAACTTTTAGCAGGCATCTGCAGTAAGCAGGAGAACACAAATAATAAATATGAAGTGGCAAACTGTCTCACTGAACACTTTTCAAACATATGTACAATTTTCTCGATCACATTTTGCCTATCTTCGTTTCCTCCAAGGTTATTGAAATAATCATGCTTAATTAGGTAGCCAAACGGAAAACAAGAATAGTGTGACCAACTTCAGACGATAGTAATCAACGTAGATTTGGTAACAACGTCTCAGAATGCATTGGTATACATTTCGAGCGGGTCTAAGTACAGCTGGAACACCTGGTACACTTAGGCGTAGCGGTTTTTTTGCCACATATTGGCAAACCTCAATATGACGTGACGGCAAACACAGGTGACACGATAAAATATTTTTATATTCGCTTCAATAGAGTTTCAAGAAAAAAATCTCTAATTAATCCGCAGCAGTGGCAGTTCTTGTGTTCTTACTACGAACCTTGAATATTACAGGAGCTATTTGGACGTGTCGAGTTCAAAGAGTTTGCATCCGCTGATTCCGAATTTCCATTAGTTGCGCGCCGAGGAGGACAAGATGGTTTCAGAAAAAGGGAGGTCACACTAATTTGCTCCATTGTTACATGTGTTACATGTATTTTTCGTGTTCACAAACAATCATTTATTTCTGTACCGTACAGTGTTACTTACCCAAGCGAAGGGAAGTTCCAGAGATAAGTCGTTGTCTTCTCCTTGGAATCAATCTCAAGTTGCTTAGCCGAAAGACAAGAAAACTTTTTGGTGTTTGGTGCAAAGGAGATGCCTACTGCGTATGGAAAACTAGCGAACACCTGCAGTAGATTTAGAAAATACGACGCACACCAGGCGGAATCACCACAGCAGTTTTTCGTAGAAGGCTGTGTAGAAACGAATGATAATACTAATAAATCATTCGAAGCAGCGCACGTTTTTATCCACATATTATGATAGCACGCCGCTTTTAGAAAGTTCGAATACGAACTTTGAACTGTGTATAAAATTAGTTAAGCTTGACTGGACATTTACTTTTTTAAAAAAAGCTGACCACACCCTTAAGACTTCACAGTCGACCAGGTAGTGCAGGGAGACATTGATTAAAATGGAATGGAAGACATGCAAATATAGTCACCTCACGCTATCGCTCATACTCCCAAAGGAGATTATCCGCATCTGTATATTTTTTCCAAATGCACCATATTGAAGATCTTTCAACAAAAACACTTGAAGGACGCCTAAACTTTACCTCCAAAGATAAAACATGATGACGCGAAAGAGCACTACTTTTATTGCCATCAAAGTCGCTGTTTTTTTTTCTTGCTTCTAGGCAGATACTCACAGCGCCGCATGTAATGAGCGTCTGTGAATGCTGCACTAGCCTTTCTTTTTATTTGAAATAAAAAAATAAACGAAGGAGCTGTCGCCGCTATTCGAAGAAGGCTATCTTGTTCCACTTGGTCGTTATGACATGAGAATTAATAGTCTTGTGAACATTGTGTTGACGCCCACTAAAAATTCATAGAATGCGTAAGATTTAACATTGGGTCATAACTCATAAATTTGAGAAGTAGCGAAATACGCATTAGGTTTGTGCAAAGCAATATTCGCCGACGCAGGTACACACTTTATTGATACTGTTGTTCATGTATACTGTTCAATATAGCTGACTTGTTGATAATAGCTAGGCATGTAAACCACTAAATCGTTGTACAATTCACATCATGTACAGCTGGTATGGCTACGCTTCTACCCCGAATACCATATCTGTAGCGAGATTGTTTGCTCTGAATGAAGCCTATATATGTTTTTTTTAGAAGCAGCTCTAAGTTATGTTATGGCTGTGTCAATAGAAAACAAAAACTGTCCGTCCCTCTGAGGTAAAATGTTTGACTACCTTGCGGAGTGTCGATGTTTGATGCCGACTAAAACACCTGAATTTTATTCTTGGTGTCTCTTGGAACTTTGCACTCACTGACAACGTCAAAAATGCCGACACCAATTTTTTTTTTCGTGACGTGGGTTGTCTAACTACTACAAAGATGATATCTATAGCTCATTTTGTTATATAGCTCTGCATAGACTTACTGTCGTCAGTACTATTATCACGTTTTTTTAATAAATAATGAGTCAAAAGTTTTTATCATGTGTGCAGAAAGCTTGCTATTTTTACAGGAGCTATGCACTGGGAGCTTGTTTTGTATTTGTTATGAACTTGACGTGTCTGATTAATGCCACCTTGGAAGACGGCATGACCAATTCATTTCAGCCTTTGTGTCAGTCTGAATCAGTGGTGAGCCAAGAGATAGAGAAGTTCGTGAATAATGTATTTTTTTTGAAGAAGAAAATGAAGTTCATTCAAGAGGTGAACGCTGGGTGTCATCGTATATAGCACAAAGGCTACTGTGCTCGACCATTGATACGAAAATGGCGGATTCAATCCTGGTAGCAGTGGTCGCTTTCGACGGAGTTAAATTATGAAATGTTCGGCATCCTTGGATATATTTAGATGCAGGTTAAGAACACCACGACGTTTAGGTTTTCCAATCACTGCTCTACAGAATGGTTCATAATCATATTAATGTGCTGGAGGCAGCAAATAAGACTGAAAAGATGCTCGATTAGAAAAGTTTCAAATAAAGTTGGGCTTCAGCTTCGTGAATCAAGAAAATTGTTAATTTGCCGCTTCTCCAGTTACAAAAAACCCTAGGTGGATCCTAATATGTAAAAAAATATCTCACCTGTCAAAATACCTTCTTTTTTCTCAGGACATTTATCTATGCATGCGAGTGCTCACCTTGTATGTGTCTGCAGTCATTCTTGGAAGTTTCTGGGGTCCCCCTGGAGAGTGCAGAGCTTCAAACGCCAATGTAATGGGCAACGCAGCCAGCCAAGTAAGCAGTGCGACACGCTTCATAGCACAGATCTACCCACACAGTTATCCTTCGCGGATGCTTTCAAAATGTACAAGACAGTTCCAAGCCACTCTTCGAGTGCGCCACACTGAAAACTCGTTTCTATTAAATGTAACGCGTACTACAGCTGACTCTTTGCAGCTTCCACACCGTAATAAGCTTGAAGAAGCCGTTTCATTCACGACTGTATTAGTTTGTCTGTACGTTAACGAGCATGTCGTTCCTAGGAAGGATCGAAGACAGATGTTTTTATCCGTACTACGATACACCAAAAAAGGACCATAGCAGAGGGAAAATAAATACAATACATAATATAATCAGCAAAAAATAAGACAGTATGCTTAGGGGTATGCCTGTCAGATGTCAAAAGCTTTTTCCCACAGCTGTGGATGAGAAAACAGGACTGATTTACAATTTAATTACGAAAAATTTTTACTGGCTTTAGTTTAGAACTGCGAGCCTTTCTAGCTGACATTTCTGGACATTGTTTAAGCATCTGTTGCGAAAGCCGGGTTGTTCGTAACTTTACTCACTTAACTAAGTATACAATGTCGTCCCTCTAAAAGTCTGAAAGATCTGCTTCATAATGTTTACAATTATTAAGTTGGTTAAGGCTATTACAGATGCCACTCGTATTGTAAATATCGAGTTCTTACTCGTTTCTTTTGGTATATTTGGCTACAGTGTGAGGAAAGTGTGAGCATTCAGAGCCCTCTAGATAGGCTGATGATCCGATATATATCTTCTGCAATATAGCACACGAGGGCACCATGTCGATATCGTGTGAGCTCAATTATATATAACCTGACAATCTAATAATCATTGTTCGCTCCAAATCGCAGCAGCCGATGTTGATATAGAAGACGAACATTTGTTATGAACCGAAATATCAAATCTCTATTCACAGCGAGAATCGGTGATCGGCGCACGCAGCAGAGCTGGTCAACGCTCTCTTGAGCTTATTCAAAAGTAGGTTGCTGTTACCTCATGTCATCTCAAGGCATCATTGTTCCAGATGGTAATACTTCGTTACACTGGACCAATGTACAGCCCACATGCTTGCTTATTACAGCAATAGCTGTTATGAAATAAAAACTCGGGTCACGTGCAGCGCCGTAGTTGCCCGCCGCCACCGCCGCCGGTGTCCGTAACAACATTGCAATAAATTTGAAAGAAAGCCTAGTACCAATGGCACTGTGGGGCTGAACCCGGGCCTGCTGGGTGCCAGCCCATTATTCTACCACTGAGCCACGTCAGTGTTTTGTACTTGTTGGCAGACTTGCCTTAGAATGGCTTGATGCCGGGAAAGCAATCACGTTAACTCGACTTATAAAGTGTTTTAGAACAGCGAAAGGGCAACCGGTCATCGCACAATGTCAATAGCGTAATGAGTGGGTCGTTCAATGCTCTAACCCATTACAAAAGTTTGCTCTTGTTCACCTTTTAACTGTGGCACATACCCACTTCAGGCATAATTCCTCATCGTGGTCAGCTGCTGCATCAACAATTGGCACACGATTCCTTGCAAGGGTTTAGCGGATACCATGCTTCACAGAAGAATGCTGAAAAATACTATGTCCATGGTGTTGGGCCACACCAACTCTGTTTCACATCATGTGGGAGTGTACACATCACAATGAAGAATAGCACAACATGAACAACACAGAGGAAGAATGGGAGGCACTGGTGTCCAGCTCGGCCATTGCTGATCAGCGCTGGCGCGTACAAAGGGTAGAGATGATGGCTAGGGCCAGCGGAGCCCTGGAATAGGGGCCCGACCATTTGGAATGCTCCGCGTTATGCGGAAATAAAGTTTTATCTGTCACTCTCTCTCTTTCTCTCTCTACCATATCGAATACTGGCCTACTACGCAAAAACTTTTATTATTAATGCCATACTGGGTACTAAGCAAGTGTGCTTGCAGCAGTTACCCAATGAGTGTTTAGAAAAGGCTCTGAAAAGCCACTCCTTTAGCTTTCAGTGTGACTGCGGTGTGCCTTACGCACAGGCCTGGAATTTTTTTTTCTTTTGTATGAAGGTTCCTTCTGTATTGTAGTTCTCAGGAGGGGCTCTCATTGCGCAATAGCCATATTTGCCTGATTAGAAAAGGCCGAGAGAAAAAACATAGATCTAGAAATAATGTTCGCTGAGCTCCAAGAAACTAAACCACTTTTGAGGCCATAATTTTCACAGCAAAAAAATGTGTGAAGAAGTTATGAGTGGGTTTATTAGAATTTACAAAAGCGAGAGAGAGAGAGAGAGAGACGGGCTTATATACAGAAAGCCAGAGAAGTCGGCCTGAGCAATAGCATGCTATAGCCTGCTACTCCACACCTGGAGAGGGGAAAGTGGAAGAAAAATGATAAATAATGACGATGGTGAGATAAAGAGGGAGTATATACAATTATTTCCAACTGATAAAAATGTTATAGCCGCGGATACACTCCAGTTGCTTTTAAAAAAGGCTATAAATGCTCCTAAGACCATAGGTATACTGTTGGTTTCAGGCCTAGGGCACTACAAAGTCTCAATAGTAAATGACTTTCTGTGAAATTTTTCAGTAGAAGAAATCAGTGTTTATTCTTCACATGCATATGTATGCTCGGCAATCACAAAGTATGTCCTCAAATGTTCCTGGCACATCAAAGTACTTGATAACTACTTGCGCAACGAAGTTAAGCGGCCAGAGGGACAGACAGTTAGATTATATTTATCGCTGTCAGAAAACCAATTAAATAAAATTTAAAAATTAACATTTTACTAGCTGCGATAAGTTAGCATGTTTATATTGAAAAAATGTAGGCAGTAGTGTTAGCACAGTTTCAGTTGGAAGATTTTTTTCTAGCTCGCCTGTACACCGAGATACCCGGCTCCAAAATTAGTCTTTCGCACGATTACGCATGCAACTGGGTTAGGGTCCGCACAAAGCTCCTCCCTAAAGGAACGCATCTCTTGCGGTGTTTAGTGTGTGAAGATTATGGAAGCGTAGGCAGACATGATAACAATTAACCTTGCCCTGTCAGCAAGCGAAAGCAAAGTAGGACAGCGCGGTGCGCTATGAGCTTTACGCATGATCCTGATGAACACGATAACAGCAGACTATTTTTCATGACGTTTTTTCGGGACTTTAGCTCGCACGAAGACATCTTCTTGTGAACGCGCTAACTTAACCATTCTGCACCAGGGTGATTCCGGCAGCTCAGCGTTTCTGCATTGAAGGTCTGCGAAGGAAATCCACGCAGAGTACTTTCGAGCTACTATGGCTGCTTCTGACGTGAAGTATTCTACCAAAAAAATTGACGCGGTGCTCACAATGGCTGAAATGAATGGCAATGCTTCATTAGCAATTGGGATTTACACGTCTCGTGACCTACACCATCTTCATCGAACAAGGTCCACTTTCATAAACCTATTTCGAAGCTTTTGCACAACAGGCTCTGTCTACCTACCAAGACAGACCACGACGGCAATCGTCAATTATGACTTTGAAATCGTCGTTGCCGCGTGCGTAACCTCACTGCCAAAGCTCAGCATCTGACAGATTGCCAATCAGTGTGGTCGCAGCGTCAAAACAACCATAAATCTTCTAAGAAAACACAAGTTCCATCCATATCACGTTTACCTTCATCAGGACCTAAACGAGGTGGACTTTTAAAGGCGAGTTGACTTCTGCAATTGGGGACTCATCGAAACTGATCAAGAAAATGACTTTTTGCACAGAATAAATTAGGCTTGCTAATCTTGGTTTCCCGGAATGGAAGTGTTAATCTTGACAACGCCCACTATTGGGCACAAGAACATTCACCCTGCTTAAGCAGCGCAACCGTCTAATTCACTGGAGCATGAATGTGTGGTGAGGCAATACTCGGGGATGAGATCATCAGAGATAGCTTTTTGAGGACAACTTGAATGAAAAGATGTACACAAAAGAACTATTGGTTGTTGTAATTGCTGACTTTGTCTGCAGTCTTTACCTGAATGACCTGCACCAATCAGCACGATGTAGCACCACAACATTTTTCTACCAGGGCGAAGAACTGGTTGGACAGACGTTTTCCACAACAATGGATTGGGCGTGCAGGAGCGATGTTTTGGCCACCAAGACCTTCTGACCTTTCTCCGCGCGACTTTTTTCTTTTGGGGCTACGTTAAAGATAGAGTTTGCGGAACAGGGCCCGGCGATCTTAATGACATGAAGGACAGAGTAACATCTGCCTGTGCGAGTATACCTGCAGAAGTAGTGCGCCGCGTCATCGAGTCGACGCAAGAGCGGTTCATGCTTTGTGTTGCTGCCGAAGGCAGCATTTTGAACACTTTTCAGGGCACTGACGTCTGCTTGAGAGGTGTATAGTTTTGATGAGATTCGTGCATGACCGAAATAAGCTTACGTAGCAGCAGGAACTATGCGTTAGCTACGATAAACACTGTTTCAGTTATTATTGGTGGAGTTGTTGCTCTTAATTCTAATACAAGTTACAGTACTGTCACATCATCAGTCACGCTATTTCCACAGCCCAGGCAGCTACTACGCACACGCTTCTCTAGTCATTGTTACGCACGCACACTGGAATCTAGATTCTCAGCTCGCACTGTTATCTCGGCATGTTATCTGCCACTATGATTGATTGATATGTGGGATATAACGCCCTAAAACCACCATATGATTATGAGAGACGCTGTAGTGGAGGGCTCCAGAAATTTTAATCTCCTGTGGTTCTTTAACGTGCACCCAAATCTCAGCACATGGGCCTACAACATTTCCGCCTCTATAGGAAGTGCAGCTGCCACAGCTGCGATTCGATCCCGCGACCTGCGGGTCAGCAGCCAAGTGCCTCAGCCACTAGACCACCACGGTGGGGCCTCTGCCACTATCATTAGAGGCTCTGCAGTTTGCGTGTTACGACACTGGTTGCAAGGGTTTTTCGGTTATTGGTTTCGACAGCCGAGAAGGCAAACCTGTTATCACCTATACCTACGCTTCCACCTCTTCACGCACTAACAGCGCACGCAACAGATGCGTCACTTTACGGAGGAGCATAGCGGTGACCTCCACGCTCTTGCATGCGTAATCATGCGAAAGACAATCAAGCAGTGGAGCCAGATATTTCGGAGCACAGGCGTTCCAAGAAAATCTTCCATTCCTTACAACACCACAGCCTGCGTTTCAGAATATAAACATTCCTACTTACTCTGCGGC